AGACACACCCCGGGAGCGTCCTCTTCTAACGCTGCCCAGCCTACTGCCGAGTGGAGCTTGGAGAGTTTTCTCCAACACCATCCGGCTAAGTTCAGTGGAAAGGGCCTCCCTGACGAGTCAGACCAGTGGTTAAGGGACATGGAAAGGATCTTCAACGCCAAGAGGTGTCCCGATGAGAACAGGTTGGCGTTCTCGGAATACTTGTTGATTGGGGAAGCGAGCCACTGGTGGACGAGCACAAGAGCTATTTTGGCATACGCTCGACGTCCTATCACTTGGGAGGTATTCCGTAGCAAGTTTTATGAGGAGTACTTCCCTGACAGCGTCCGGTTTGCGAAGGAAGTAGAGTTTTTACAGCTGGTTCAAGGTGAGATGTCGGTTTCTGAGTATACCAACAAGTTCAAGCACCTTGTTCGGTTCAACACGATGGCCACGAGTGAAGAGTGGCAGTGCAGGAAATTTGAGAACGGCCTGCGGAGTGATCTGAAGGTTCTGATTTCCAGTTTGTACATACGAACGTTTCCTGCTATGGTCGAGCGGGCAAAGGTATTGGAGAAAAATATGGCAGAGGCGGAACGACAAAAGAAACAGCAACAAGTGAATAGGGGACCGATTGTGTCCAGGGGAGGTATTGTTCAGAGGAGACCACCTTACGCTCGTCCAAACCAAACACCTAATGCAAGCGGGTCACAAGCAATGGTTCCTGTCGGACAGTCTGGACAAGGAAACGTTGTTTGTTTCCGGTGTAGAGGGCCATATTATCGTTCTTCATGCCCTCAGTTGGTGGGAGGAAAGCACTGCAACCGTTGTGGAAGAAACGGGCACTTGGATCACGAGTGCAATATGAGTGGACGTGCAGTAATGAGGCCACCTAACGCTGGAAGGAGCCAACCGAGAGGTGGTAGAGCACAAGCAGTGGGACGCATATACGCTATAACGAGCGCTGAGGCAGCCAGCTCAGGTAATCTCATAATTGGTGAATGCTTGCTGTTTGGTAGATCGTGCTGTGCATTGTATGATTCGGGGGCGACTCACTCCTTCATCTCGAAGGCGTGTGTTGAAAA